CTGCAATACTTCCAAAACAAACAAAAAACACTGGCAACCACCTCTTACTGTATTCAAGTTGTGTAGCCAATAAATAGTAATCAGAAGAGCACACCATGTCACCAGCTTTTTTTTGTTCTGGAATCACTATATGGGGAGTTGGAGATCCTGGCTCGTGCACTGGTCTTCAGCATGCATTCCAACATATAGCAGTTGAGCTTGGGTAAGATTCTTGTTTTGCTAAGCTGCAATGCTTACCTTATTCCTTGCAGGCTTTTACCACGTGGAGCAAACGCTTACCGAAGCCTCTTCTCTTCCACTCTCTGGTTGGTGGTCACACTCTGGTGTCATCTTGTACAATACAGGACCTGCATTGTATGTGAGGATGGTGAGGGACTGCCTACCATCCAAAGTGTTGGAGAGAAGTGGTGGGTGACAGAAGCTTGAGGAATAAGAAAATGTTACAGCATATTCCTCTACTCTAGACTTAGTGAGAAATTAACCCTTGTAGTGCAGGGGGCCCACAGCGAGGGAATTTTCAGGTTTAATTAATCTATGTTAGCATAATATACCTGCCTCCAACGTATGATGTTCTTATTTGGTTTATTATCATATTAATAATTCTTCACTCATGTCACAGTCTTTTACTGGTTTTCCAAAATATTGTGATTGGAAAATGTTATGCATAAAAAGCTAAATCGCAAACTTATTATTTAGCAGTATTAAGCCCAAAGCCAAAAATTGTATCTATTACAGTTTACCAATCTTGAAATGCAGTGGCTTAATTTCCTATCCTTTTTTTTTACCTGGTGATCAGGCCAGTAACACAGTTTCTTACTGAGCGAGTCTCCATTCTACACAGTAAACAAGGAAAACACATGTGGACAGCAGCATGGTCACCCTGTGGAGACAGTAGTGTTAGGTGCACTAGAAGATTTAAATGTTAAAGGGTTTACATAAATGAATATTAGCTGACCATTGTCAGTCATAAATAATTTGTCTAAGTTCTCTAACTGCTATGTTCTGCTGAAAAACGACAGACTTACTGGCAAGATCAACAGGTGCCAATAAAGAAAACAGTAAAAAAAAAAAAGAACTGAATTAGCAACTACATCTATGGATTGATAGGGTGCATTTTTGTTTCCGTTTTTTAGATTTATACTGTAATAATGTATATTATACTGTTTGTAACACACAGTGTAGTAACCTTACTATCTCCCAGATAGTCGACCTCCGAGCCCTTCTGTGGGGCTACAGCCGAGAACACCGGCATCTCTCTGGCCTATCCCCGCTGACCTTGGCCTCTCTGTGTCTGTGGTACAGACGGGGCGCGGTCGCACTAGTGTCATTCGATCCCTTCCCTCTATCACCCCTATTCGACAACCCTGCCCTACCCCAGAGTGTAGGCGCAACGGCCATCGTCCCCTTTACGCACACCTCTTGGCCCCTCGTCCGTGACTTCATCTGCCCCCAATCAGGTCTCCCGCTCCTCCGGGGTGGATCTCGGGATTGGTTGACGACTCTACGCCTATCCACATTCTGCAACCACCTACACTCCTCCCCAGACATTTACCGACTGCTCACTGAGTTTGAGCGACTATGCTCTCTCCCCAGTCTGCCTAGACATGTCCTAGCCAACCTATATAAATCTCTACACGACGCTCTCCACCCCGACTCCCACCCTACATCAAGGCGTGGGCCCAAGAACTCGGCAGGGACATATCGGACGCAGACTGGTCCAAGTCATATCACTTCACCAATAAGTCGTCCATTTCCTGTTATTCACAAGAGAAGAACTTTAAGATCCTCGCCCGATGGTACAGGGACCCACTCTCTCTACACAAAATATTCCCCTTCACATCGAACCTGTGCTTGCGCTGTTCTAAAGCGGTCGGTACTCAGCTCCACATCTGGTGGGAATGCGACCTAATGCAACCTTACTGGCGACAGGTCTTTGCCATATACAGTGGGGATCGAAAGTTTGGGCACCCCAGCTAAAAATTTGTATTAATGTGCATAAAGAAGCCAAGGAAAGATGGAAAAATCTCCAAAAGGCATCAAATTATAGATTAGACATTCTTATAATATGTCAACAAAAATTAGATTTTATTTTCATCATTTACACTTTCAAAATAACAGAAAACAAAAAAATGGCGTCTGCAAAAGTTTGGGCACCCTGCAGAATTTATAGCATGCACTGCCCCCTTTTGCAAAGCTGAGACCTGCCGGTGTCATGGATTGTTCTCAATCATGGTCTGGGAAGACCAGGTGATGTCAATCTCAAAGGTTTTAAATGCCCAGACTCATCTGACCTTGCCCCAACAATCAGCGCCATGGGTTCTTCTAAGCAGTTGTCTAGAAAACTGAAACTGAAAATAGTTGACGCTCACAAAGCTGGAGAAGGCTATAAGAAGATAGCAAAGCGTTTTCAGATGTCAATATCCTCTGTTCGGAATGTAATTAAGAAATGGCAGTCATCAGGAACAGTGGAAGTTAAAGCAAGATCTGGAAGACCAAGAAAAATATCAGACAGAACAGCTCGCAGGATTGTGAGAAAAACAATACAAAACCCACGTTTGACTGCACGATCCCTCCAGAAAGATCTGGCAGACACTGGAGTTGTGGTACACTATTCCACTATAAAGAGATACTTGTACAAATATGGTCTTCATAAAAGAGTCATCAGAAGAAAACCTCTTCTACGTCCTCACCACAAAAATAATCGTTTGAACTTTGCAAATGAACATATAGACAAGCCTGATGCATTTTGGAAACAAGTTCTGTGGACCGATGAGGTTAAAATTGAACTTTTTGGCCGGAATGAGCAAAGGTACGTTTGGAGAAGAAGGGGCACAGAATTGAATGAAAAGAACCTCTGTCCAACTGTTAAGCATGGGGTTGGATCAATCATGCTTTGGGGTTGTGTTGCAGCCAGTGGCACAGGGAACATCTCACGAGTAGAAGGAAAAATGGATTCAATAAAATTTCAGCAAATTTTGGATGGTAACTTGAAGCCATCTGTGAAAAAGCTGAAGTTAAAGAGAGGATGGCTTCTACAAATTGATAATGATCCTAAACACACCTTGAAATCCATGGGGGATTACATCAAGAGGCGTAAACTGAAGGTTTTGCCATGGCCTTCACAATCTCCTGACCTCAACATAATTGAAAATCTATGGATAGACCTTAAAAGAGCAGTGCGTGACAGACAGCCCAGAAATCTCAAAGAACTGGAAGACTTTTGTAAGAAAGAATGGGCAAAGATACCTCAAACAAAAATTGAAAGACTCTTGGCTGGCTACAAAAAGTGTTTACAAGCTGTGATACTTGCCAAAGGGGGCAGTACAAGATATTAACTCTGCAGGGTGCCCAAACTTTTGCAGTCGCCATTTTTTTGTTTTCTGTTATTTTGAAAGTGTAAATGATGGAAATAAAATCTAACTTTTGTTGACATATTATAAGAATGTCTAATCTGTAATTTGATGCCTTTTGGAGACTTTTCCATCTTTCCTTGGCTTCTTTATGCACATTAATACAAATTTTTAGCTGGGGTGCCCAAACTTTCGATCCTCACTGTATGTCGAGATTTATGGTGAATCTCTGACCCCCACACCGGAAATTGCCCTCCTCTCGATCCTTCCGGGCTCTTTAGCTACTCAGAAGAAAAGCTTGCTGCGCTTCTTCCTATCCGTGGCCCGCCAACTGATACCCCTCTTCTGGAGATCGACGACCCCCCAGCCCCTCTCCTTGTGCGTCTCGGTGCTAAACGATACCATGCGCATGGAGGAAATGTTGGCATTTGACAATGACACTTTCGATAAACACAAGCTGTTGTGGTCGGTCTGGTTCCACTTCTCCTCTTCCTCACGCCTGCGAAATCTTTGCACCGCTGATGGGATTACCAGCGAAATACCAACGGCGGGCCACCTAGCAGGCCTGCTCCGGCCATCCTTCCCACCCAGGATCTTCTCCCCTCTCCTTTTTTTTTTCTTCTCTTTCTCTCTTTCTTTCCCCCCTCCCCTCTCCCGCCTCTTTCTCATTCTTGACTCTCTTCCCCCCCCCTCTCTGTTTCCCTCTTACCCTACCTATATCTCTTTCTTCCTGCCTCGCTCTGTCTCGAGTGTTTCCACTATTCTCTATAAGGGTTTCTCATTTAGACATTAAGGAATTATTGTATCACCCTTGAATATCGCCTGTTGGGGGATGCCCCCTCTATAACTATGAAGGGACCCTTATCTCCCGAATCCATAGTCTACGCTAATTCCCATTTGAAAGTTCTTATTCACCCTTATCACTGTTGATGTTCTCATAATTCTTTCTTTGATACTATGCATTGTTTGATTTATTGCAAAACCAAATAAAGACAAATATGCCTTTAAAAGACACCTTGACAACCTCTTGTCTCCACATGAAAAAAAGTGAGGTAATGTGTAACCAAGTCGTTCTCTTCTGTTTGCTCTGTAATAGATTTGGGGAACAATTGTTATGCTAAGGAGGGCCTTTCTAAATACAAAATATTCTCTTTTATCTAAAACCTGAAGACATACAAGGGTTGATGTACTAAAACTGGAGAGTGCAAAATCTTGTGCAGCTGTGCACAAAAACCAATCAGCTTCAAAATGTTTTTTTGTCAAAGAATAATGGAACAAGCTGAAGTTAGAAGCTGATTGGCTACCATGCACAGCTGCACCAAATTCTGAGTGCTCCAGTTTTAGTAAATCTACCCCACAATGTTATCTATAAAAAAAAAAAAACACTTGTAAATAACTCTTTATAATTTACTTGATCCCACGATGCCCTATAGCAGAAATACTACTACAGGGCAGCACGGGTGTGCAAAATCACGTGTATATATATATATATATATATATATATATATATATATACGTGATTCTGCAGTTCCAGGTAGGGGGCGCGCACGTGCCGCACGCTTGCCTTACCCATGCCGCCATTAGCGGCCTCAGTTGTCAATTATCGGATTCCCCGCCATCACCCGTCAATCTCGGAGGATTACCGACAAGGGCGAGATCTGTATGTAAACAATACAGATCTCTCTTCTGTCATCTCTTGCACATTGCTTTGTATGGCTCTGCATAGCAGAGCCTAACAAAGCAGTGTGCATACAGTGAAACACACACACAGCCCCCATAGTAAAACAGCACACAGCACACAGTTAACCCTTTGATTGTCCCAAATGTTAACCTCTTCCTGCCCAGAGCCATTAGTACAATGTCAGTGCTTTTTATTAGCACTGATCACTGTATTGGTGTCACTGGGGATGTCAGTGACACCAAGTCAGTTCCCCCCAGAGTCAGAATGCCCACCTTATAAGTCACTGATCGCCGCCATTACTAGTAAAAAAAAAAATTCCAGTATATATACTGCCATTTGTAAATGCTATAACGTTCACGTAAACTAATTAATTTACACATATTGGGATTTTTTTTTAGCAAAGACATGTAGCAGAATACATTTTGGCCTAAATTTATGGCAAAATTAGATTTTTTTTTATTTGTTCACTGGACATGTTTAATAGCAAAAGTAAAAAATATAGGTATTTTTTTCTTTTTTTTTTTTATAGCAAAAAAAATTAAAAATGCACAGGTGCCTCCAGGGTACCCTTTGGGACTAGGAGGTGACCCCCCAGGGTTATTACGCGCCAAACAGATTTCAACACAAATTTTTTTCTCACTTGTTGAAGGTAATTTCTCACCACGAACGTAGTATTCTCTTATTGCTGGGTGATTCGAATGTTGCTCTTAATTCATCTGTAGATCGCCGTTACCCGACAGGAGGGACCCCTAGCCACGATCTTTTTCAGGAATCTAAATTGTGTGATACACTGCAAGCTTATGGTTTGGTTGGTGCCTGGCGGGAAATGCATCCTACGTCACGGGAATACACTTTTTATTCGGCCCCACATTTGAGCTTTTGTAGAATAGATCACGTTTTCATTTCCTTCCAACATTTATCTTTAATTCAAAAGATTGTAATCTCGACCTCGCCCTGGTCTGATCATGACCCGTTGGTCTTTTCACTGTGTCTTTCTGGTACGGCTCAGCGCTCTTTTCTGTGGAGACTCAATGAATCCCTGCTCACCACTCAGGCTTCTTGCTCCCAGGTTCTTTTGCACATTCAATCTTATTTTACAGACAATGTGGGTTCTGTATCCTTGGCCGTCTCTCTGTGGGAGGCTCGCAAAGCTACCATTAGGGGTCATTTGATTCAGATCGCCTCGTCCAGGAAACGGGCCAGAGAGAAAAGGATGTAGGAATTGACCTCGAGATTGGCCGTGGTGGATGCTACTTGGAAAGCCTGCCCGACTACGGCCCATAGGAAAGCTCAAGATTTGGTGTCTGCTGAACTTGATCTTCTCTCCACTACACGACCTGAGAAGGCCTTGCATTGGGCCGGACATAGGTTTTATACATGCGCCAATAAACCAGGGCTAATGTTGGCCAAGAAACTTAATTCGCATAATAAACCTGTTCAACTCCGAATGAGGGGCGGTGGCCTTACCTTGGACCCTGTGAAGATTACTCATAGATTTGCAGAATTTTTTTGTCCTCTCTTTACCAAAAACCGAACACCTTTGTTGCTGAAGACGCTAATAGTTTTTTTGCTGAGCTGCACCTACCCTCTTTGTCCGTTGCAGCCCGAGATGCCCTGGATGTGGATCTCTCTGAATCTGAACTCTACCAAGCTCATCAAATCTTGGGAGGCCTCCAAGGCTCCAGGCCCAGATGTGTTTTCTGTTTTCTGGGCTCTACTATAAAAAAAGTTTGCCACCGTTATGGTTCCACATTTGATGGCCTTTTTCAATTCTTTGAAGCAGGGTTACCGGCTTTCTTTGGAGTCTCTTCAGGCACATATTACTATGATCCTTAAGAAAGCTGAAGATGCTTTTGAACCGCCTGCTTTCCGACCGATCTCGCTGCTAAATGTGGACTTGAAGATTCTGGGAAAGGTTCTGAGCACCCGAATTAATAAGTATCTACTCTCACTTATTCATCGAGATAAGGTTGGCTTCGTTCTGGGGCGACAAGCTGCTGATAACATCCGTAAAGTCATCCATCTCATTCATATTTTACATCACCGCAGGATACCAGGGTTCCTTTTATCCCTGGACATTTAGAAAGCGTTTGATTCACTTTCTTGGGAATATTTGACATACCGTATTTGCCGGCGTATAAGACGACTGGGCGTATAAGACGACCCCCCTACTTTTCCTGCTAAAATGTAGTGTTTGGGCTATACTCGCCGTATAAGACTACCCCTCTTCCAATGCACACCAGTGGGAGGAATAGTGCCCCATCATTGATGTCAGTGGGAGGAATAGTGCCCCATCATTGGTATTAGTGGCAGGAATAGTGCCCCATCATTGGCATTAGTGGCAGGAATAGTGCCCTATCATTAGTATCAGTGGAGGAATAGTGCTCCATCATTGGTGTCAGTGGGAGGAACAGTGCCCCATCATTGGTGTCAGTGGGAGGAATAGTGCCCCATCATTGGTATCAGTGGCAGGAATAGTGCCCCATCATTGGTATCAGTGGGAGGAACAGTGCCCCATCATTGGTATCAGTGGGGGGAATAGGTGCCCCATCATTGGTATCAGTGGCAGGAATGGTGCCCCATCATTGGTATCAGTGGCAGGAATAGTGCCCCATCATTGGTGTCAGTGGGAGGAATAGTGCCCCATCATTGATGTCAGTGGGAGGAATGGTGTCCCATCATTGGTGTCAGTGAGGGGTGGAATAGTGCCCCATCATTGGTGTCAGTGGGGGGTGGAATAGTGCCCCATCGTTGGTGTCAGTGGGGGGGGGAATAGTTCCCCATCATTGGTGTCAGTGGGGGGGGAGGAATAGTGCCCCATCGTTGGTGTCAGTGGGAGGAATAGTGCCCCATCATTGGTATCAGTGACACCAATGATGGGGCACTATTCCTCCCACTGAGACTTGCTGACCCTGTTCTCGTATGGTGCTGCTGCAGCCAGCATATGTGGTTGCAGCAGCACCTCTACACAGAACACTTACCTGCTGCTCCGGCACTCAATTTTCACGGGGCCGCTCGGCTCCGCCCCCTCGCCGGTGATTGGCCGCCTGTGTGCCTTTCCTGAGCTACAGTTCTGGCGGCCAATCACCGGTGAGGAGGCGGAGCCGAGCAGCCGCACGAACATCCAGTGGCCGAACTGAAGGAGACGCCGCGCTTCCTGGACCGGATCGTCGTGGGACTGGATCCAGGTAAGAGACATCAGCCCCTGCAAACCCCTGTACTTAATGCCGCAGCCCCCCTAAACATGTGTACCGGCGTATAAGACGACCCCCGACTTTTGAGAAGATTTTCAAGGGTCAAAAAGTCGTCTTATAGGCCGGCAAATATGGTATACGCTGTCTAGATGGGGGTTTGGTGACGCATTTCTGGCTTGGATCTCAGCTTTATATTCATCTCCCTCGACCTTTGTTAAATATGCAGGGTTTTTTTTTGCTCATCCTTCCCTATTTTCAGGGGCACGAGACAGGGATGCCCATTATCACCTGCTCTTTTTGCTCTCGCTCTTGAACCGTTAGTTGCAGACATTCGAAATCATCAAGATATTTCTGGTGTCCCCTATTGCGGCACCCAATACAAGGCCAACTTTTATGCGAATGATGCCTTTTTGGTTTTACAAATCCTCTCATCACTCTCCCCAATCTCCAGGTCATATTGGACTATATCTGGCCTTCGTATCAATTTGTCTAAAACCACGGCATTGAATATTACGCTCCCTGCTAACCTGGTTGAACGGTTGCAGACACAATTTCCCTACCGTTGGGCATCCCATTCTCTGGCTTATCTTGGAGTTACACTTACTCCCTCCTACTCTGCCTTATTTTTGGCTAATTATTACCCCTTATTGCGCTCTGTTAATTCCCTGCTTCATTCTTGGCAGTTTCCTTCTTTATCTTGGTTTGGCCGGATACATGCTGTCAAGATGACTATCTTGCCAAAGATCCTGTACTTTTTCCGCACTCTCCCTATTCAGGTCCCTGCATCTTTTCTTTGTGTATTGCAAAGCCGGATTCTCAGTTTTATTTAGGCTCATAAAGGTCCCAGAGTGCCTAGAGCCACTCTGTATACTCAGATTACACGGAGGTTTGAGAGTTCCACATGTTTCTAGATACTACTTGGCGGCTCAGATTTCCCAGTTGTCTATGCTTCATGCCACGACAGATATCCCATTATGGGTACACTTGGAATTACCCAATTGTGCTGCGCTTTCCTTAACTACATTGCTTTGGCTCCCGCCTAAGTTGTGCCCTCTGGATTTGAGCCCTATCATGCTTCACAGTTTACGAACCTGGGATTCTGTAAAATATTTGTGTAATTTGATTTCATAATTTCTACCTCTTTTGACAATTACGTATAATCCTTTTTTTCCGCCAGGCCTAGAACATCCCCCTTCTTTCTCTTGATGGACCTCCCATGGCTTTGTTATTGTACATGATTTTTTGAGCGCTCGTACGTTTCCATCATGGGAGTCTCTTCGAGAATCAAGGAACATTATCGGTATTTGCAATTACGCCACTGGGTCCTATCCCTCCGTCGTACCTTTACATACCCTTACCGCAAAAACCCCTTTTGAGCACGTCTGTCAGCATTCCCCAGGGTCCTCTGGTCTCATTTCTGTAATTTATGCCTCCCTTAACAGTAGGTCCTCCTCACCACCCCTGTCTTATGTCTCTCAATGGGAGCGAGATCTGTGTGTCCCGATTGTGGTGGAGGATTGGCGTAGGGCCTGGGGGATGGTGGTGAAATGTTCATGCAATGCAGTCACTCTTGAGGCAGCCTACAAAGTTATCCTGCGGTGGTACTTGGTCCCGGCGCGGGCTGCTCATTTTAATCTGACTGGTGAAGATAGGTGTTTCCAGAACTGTGGTCTACGCGGGGATGTTTTGCACATTGGCATACTACCTATTTATTTCGGCCAAACTTGCTATAGCTCAAGCTTGGAGAACTCCTTCGGTTGTCGTCCAGGGGGTGAAGACCCGGATAAATGATATGTTGATTAATAAACAGATGTCTAGCATTCTTCAGGATTCTCATCTGAGATACCTTAAGGTTTGGGAACCTTGGATACGTTATTCCTTGCCATCTTTGCCTCCTACTAGTTATAGCCTCTTATAGTCGCTGCCTGTGCTAGCCCTGGATCCGTGGTTCTTCTAGTTTCTCTTTCCTCCATGTTTTTTTCTGATTCCTTTTTTCTTTTTGTCATCTTACGTTCTTTATCCTTTCCTCTAACCTTTTTTCTTCTTTTTCCGGTACTATGTTGGATTACTGCTGCTA